CTCACTCCATATTCCGCCGTATAATAAAGCATCATCGAGACAAAAATAAAAGCCTGTGACGGGAGCGCCGCCGTAGACAACGGCCCTCGACCACAGACAAGGGGCTCTATTTTTACCAGATTATGCACGGGGCATCGCTGACTGAGCGAGTTGGGGGCTCGGCCCACAATGCCTCTACAGTCCCCGCACGTGTCTTGTTCCCAACTTGTCTTTCAGTGAGTCGCGTGTTCGTTAACGGCTCATTCGAAATTCAGAAATTTGTGCGGTTTTCTTTATTTTTAGTAATGTTCAAGTTCAGTTTCTCTGTTTGAATACTTCATTAGTGGCGAAGATGAGGCATCGTTGTTCGAAGCCTCATCTTCGCCACCAATAATACTAATACTAATATATAATATAATAATAATACACTAATATACATAACACTAATGTAATAATAATACTTAATATATGAATCTCGAGTTGGTATATGTCTTAATCAATCGGGAATCGTGGTGTTCTGGTATCGTGTTTAAAAGATCAATTTGTCGCACCATGATATCTTTTGATAGTTTTTACTTTAAAATAGGTCGAATGATAAAGCTTTGAAAGCGTCAGCTTTAAAGAATCGCATGCGGTACATTTGCGTTTAAAGTCAGCTGCATTGCAGTGCTGAAACAAATTTCGCTAAACATTCATTAATATCTTGTACACAGTTGCTTAGGATTCTGGAAAGATTAATCGAGATTCGGGCAAAGGACCAATTGCTTGTTTTAATTCAAACAATTGAACTTTAGAATTTTATAATTGCTTCGGTACATATATTTTATCTTCTAAAGATATAAAAGAAAATTAGTTTTTACACTTTTTTATGAGAGTAGGTGGTAAACGATCTGGCGGTTCACCTGATGTTAAGTGATAACCGCCGCCCTTTCACATATGCAACACCAGTAGGTTTGCAGATGCGCTACCACCCTTTAATTAAGTTGGCCCCGGCTACCTCACTCTCCAAACGAAACGCAGAAGTGTGAAACTTCCATTGCATGCATTGCAACGCATTAATTAAAGAATAAAAGTGTTTATTAGGTTTTTAGGTTTAGTATCGGGGGCAAGGGAAAGTTCCCTTTTTAAGGGGTCAGGCACCTTCGTGGAATTACTCCAAACAATTCTCAAAAGTTCCACCACAATCGAATGAATGCGCAGTTTCGAGCACAACAAACAATTTTCTCCTATGTAATACGAATAGGAATCAAACCCACTATCCGAGTGGGAAAAATTTTGTAACCTAATAATAAGGGTAACAGTTAGGAATCAAACCCACTATCGAAGTAGCAAAAGTTTTGTAACTGAATAATAAAATGGCGAATGTTCGATTTCCAGCCGTGTTGACACATTTCGATATCACGAAGGCATAAAGAACGCCTGTCTCGACTTCAGTGGAATATTTTCAGTAATTATTCTTACTAACAATTCGAATGTGCAAATCCGTTTTATATTTGTTTTAGTTTATCCTTCTTTTACGATGAATGGTTCAACAAGATTTTCTCATAATTATTTGCGACCAAGGGTCAGAGAGATGGACTAATGTCCCTCAGACATGGACTAATTTTCATTTCAGTAATTTGCTCGGTACCCGTCGTTTAGATTTGGAGAATCATTCTAGATCTTTATTATAAACCTGCTGACGATTGACGAAATCTATGCGAACGTAGTCGCGGAGAACATACCTAAGATATAGATCTTAATTAGATGTTTTCCGCGACTACGTTTTGGTTGTCCCAACGGCAACAAATTACGTAAACAACTTAATTTTGTTTGTTGAAGTAAAAGTGTTACAATTCTGCGTTTCGTCTGGTGAGTGAGTTAGCCGGGGCCCACTTTAATAAAAGGTGTAACTGGCAACGCATCTGCAACCCTAAGGGTGTTTCAAATGTCCATGGGTTATCATTTAACACCAGGTGAACCGCCAGCTCCTTCTGACATAAGAAAAAAAAAGTTACACTTTTTACCATGAAGTTCCCATGCTTTCCACAATTATTTAATTGGCCATAAGCACATATATGATATGAGCATTTAAAAATAAATTAATCGCGTTAAAATATCTCGTGATCCCACACAAAATCCCTACGCAGATGCTGGCTCACTAATTACATAATTTATGATTTTTAATAAGCAAATCGCGCGGCAAAGCGGCGCTGGCCGGTAGTAAATTATAAAAGTAAAAGTAATAAATAAGCAGAGATCAATGCACTTTGATCCTTTTCGTTCGTACGTCGACACGCGACGTTCGCGTGCATTGATACACCTGAGATCGATTGTACGATTTCAATACCTTATAATGTATCAAATTGTATTAAAATATGAATACGCGGGTGGCCTAATCTCGGATTTTGCATCTTTAATAGTATCGATAATAAATATTGCACAGATAATAATTATTATAGATGTATCATCGATTGATTCTGACTTAATACAGCTTTTGCCAGTGATGTCAAGAGTAATTATTTTTTACAAGAAGTCGGGTGTGAACGACCTTTTATTTTAAAGACATTACAATCAATAATTCGCCTAATCCTTCTTTTATTTATCGTCAGTCTTTTATCAAAGGTTCCAGCAAATTTTGTGAAATTTATTAGGGTTTACATTTCTTCTCCAGACCATCATCGTCGTTAAATTGAATGAAAAGATGGTGTTTAAAAGAAAAATATTCGTTTGTTTCATAGCTTTTTTTCCATGCTCAAATATAAAATTCACTCAAAGAAGTCGATCCTAAGAAAACCTAAGACCGTTTAACGACGCGAAATGCACCTTAGCACGATAAAAATAAAAGCCACCCTTGCCTCACAAGGTCGGTCGTTAGGCAAACTTCAGTGGGACTACGTGCAAGTTATAATGAACTTTAGCTGTATAAACATAAAAGTGGTGGTAAGTGATCAGGTGAAGTTTGTAAGACAGAAGACGGGCGTCGTCTGGGCAGGTGAATGAACCCTGAAAGCGCGCGTTTCAGAAGTTTGGGACACGCCATCACTTCCTGTAGCTTTGAGTGTTGGCGCTTTGTGTTCTCTGCACCTAAGCATTCGGACGTTTCGTATTAAGATTTTAAGACGCGGTTTGGGGCGTTGCTTTTCGAGCTCAAGTGCTCATTAACGCACGTTTTCTATGACCACGACTATAACTACTAGCTACACTAATGCGAAAATCCTGATTACCTTAATCCTATAACTGGAAAATGATACATTTTAAATATTATTTTTATTTTGCTTAATATGAATAGTGTTTGTTTTTACCTTTCTAATTAGAGCAACATATCAATAATGGTATCTGTTTAAGACGTGTTTTTGTATTTTCTTTTCGTACGCATTAGATTCAAGTACTGAAACCACCAAAAACAGATTTTTCCGTATTATAATAACTGTTGATGTACCTGATGATATGTACCCATATAAAATTTATTAGTGTTTTCAGAATAAGTTGATTTTGCAGATAGTTTTAAAACAAAACTGGACGTGAATCCCGATGACATGGGTTCGATTAATTTTTCTTACCATTTTAAGTTTTCATATAAAGCCTCTGCACTTAACCACTATAAAAATTTAACATTAATATATTTAAAATTTGCAACAGTTTGGATATTTTATTTAGTTTTTAATTAAAGTAACGGCTGATATATAAACCTTTTTGCTGGAGAAAAAAAAAAACAAATGTCAAATGTTACTTTTGCCGCCAAAACGCGGTTGTCAACTTCTCGCTCATGCTTGCACGCACACATAAACAGGCTCTACTAGTTCAACTGAATAACTTTCGCCTTCAGGATGTAAAGCGCTCCCGCCAACTTCACAATGTTGCCGGCATTGGGTCAAATTAACTATTTATGACACCACGTGGACGCGAAACCAGTTTTAGTTGAAGTTAAACTAATTAGCTTGCTGTTTAGTGCTCTTGATATGCTCACAGTGTGTTCTTTGTGAAGTCTTGTATTTTAAGTGAACAATATCTAATTAAAATACATTTTATTTGATTAAAAACGTAAAATAAATGTTAAAAGAATATTTTTAGGGAAACTAATAAGTTTCACTATAATACGAATAATGTATATCCATTAAAACATTACTTTATCAAAAACAAGTATTATTGATAAGAAGAGTTTTATACTTTAAAATTGCTTTTTAACCTCATCTATTTTTTTGACCAAATTTATTACTTGCAACAGGTACACATACATATACAAACACAAAACGATCATTACTTAATCCATCTAATCCGAGCGTTAATGGGGCTCAAATGTCAAAATTGACAGTTTGACAGCGAACACCATCTTGACTTTCTACTAATGCAACCATATACAGTAAAAAGTGCCATATTAATTCGTAATATATCGTCTATAGCAGATATGTCGGTTACCGCATATTTAAAGTATTAATCAAAAGAAATTTCTAATAATGTACACACCTTCACCTAGTTACTAACATTAAGATAGTTTCCTGTTTTCAAGGGTCTGCTGGAAGAGAACTCTTTTGAGGGATGAGCTCGCCTTTGTACATGTTTTTTTGTCATTTGCTCCAAATTGTATATTTTATATTGTGTGTACAATAAAGAAATCAAACAAACAAGAAATACTCTGAAATTACTGGTTTGCGATGTATGACATTATAAAATTCATTTAAATCGTACAATTAGTGTAATCAATAAATGGTTTTGATTTTCATTTTCGTTATTTTAAAGTTATCAAAGGAAGGAAACTATTAAATTATGTTGAAGTTTCATAAACTCATAGCGGATGGGCAGCGGGATTAGTGTGTCCTTATGGTGCGCGTAAAAAAACACGTTTTTGACATCAGTGCCTGTTGTATGAGTGTAATTCTTCGAAGTTATGTCGGGGCACGCCTGCCACGGCGTATTTCGACCGCGGCTCTCGGCAAATTTAAATCGTGCCGCAATCCATATTCATAATGCGGCGTTGGTCGCGTATTATTCGCCCCGGCCGATGATATTCGTCCATTAGCCCCGTCGGCCATTTTTCAATTATGCGAAATGCGCGCGGCGCGCACAGATCACATAGCGCTTACATATGTGCACGAGGGGCGAGGGAGTCCGCTGCACGGACGGGGTGTGTTTAATTTGTAAACGGGAAACGTATCGGAACATATAGGATATAAAGCTTATCCAATATGAGCCTGGACAGGGGTGCATGGCAGCCGACGCGGCCGGCGAAAAAAGTGCGCTAGCAACACCGAAGAGGTTTTAACCCGCGCCGAATATATTTTACGGGCGTTGTTTTATGGAGTCCATGTCGCGGGGTTGGTATTGAAAAGTTTTATGACTTTCGTTTGGCGTTCGCGTGTTTTTTTTTTTATTTTAATATTTTTCCCCCGTCGAGTTTTATGGTTGGCGTTGCGAATGAGATTCTCGCAAAGCTACATGTCTGGTATGGTTCAGAGGGGAATGACGTTGTATGATTGACGCGAAAATTCCTATAACATGTTAAGTTTAAGGAAATATAATATCGTCGAAAAATTTACTAAGACGATAAACCGTGATTAAAAATATAAGGTATATGGTCTTCAAACCACAATGGGCTTAGTGGAGATAGCTAGCTTATTGAGATCCAAATTCTTATTTAATAATGTATCAGGCACATGGTTGTCATCCATTTATTCTTGTTGAGATTACATTAAGACATCGGACTTAGTACGTGTTGTAATTGTTATAGAATTTTAGACACGGACTAAGATGAATAATCTGTTTTTTGGATAATTTCCTATTACCGAATTAAATAGTAATTAAAATAAATTTGTAATTAAAAACGGCGCCGGACATAGAATCACTTCACATTTGGGAATCTGCAAGTTCAAAACCGTGATGCCACTGTCACCTTAGTTTGGGTTAACAGGAGCGTAAACTCTTTTTAAGAATGCCGTGGTATCTAAATGATGGTACAACTAATATCTTTTAGAAACTACTATAGTAGTAGCTTCTAATAGATATTAGTTGCTAATATAATGTGTACTGTACATGCTACACGTGAAGCTTATAATATTCTATAAAGAAATTGTTACTTCCAGTGTTATACTTTTTAGTTTCGTCTGATGATTGAGCCTCTTTTAGAGGCTGGCAGACCTCGGGCACCTACAAATCCCTCAGGTGTTGTAGATGTCTAGGCAACAGTAATCACTTACACCAGCTAAACTGCTTGCTCTCTTACCAAGCTTTTAAATTAAAAACCGACAAATTGCGAGCGGACTCGCGCACGAAGAGTTCCGTACCATCTATAAAAGCGGCAAAAAAATCATGTCTGTTGTATGGGAGCCCCACATAAATATTTTTCTTATTCTGCTGTTTAGTAGTAATAGCGGCAAGAGAAATACCTACATCGTCTGTGAAACCTACCTAACTATCACACTTCATTAGATTTAGCGGGTGACAGACGAACAGACAGACAGACAGCGGAGTTTTAGCAATAGGTTAGGTAGGTTTATCGCAAAAGCAACGCTTACGCGTTACGAACATCCGTGACCGCTGGACGTGCCATCTAAGCCCCTTCTCCACCTCCTCTCATAAAGGGTTTCCAGCCATAGGCGTCGTCTATTTTCCACCGGTCGTTTTTGTCCGCCGTCCGCCCGACGTCATCCGAAATTCAAATCGGTCGCGACGCGACTCCTAGGTGGCCGGTGGCGCGCGTTAATTCCATCGATCATTACTCCCGTTGCAATCCGCCAATCGCGAAAAATAAAAACACTCGAACCACCCCCCTCCCACCCCTGTTTGACTCCCCCCAAGCCCCCTCGCCACCCGCGTCTGCGTCCAGGGGAGATCCGGGTTTTTTTGCGGGCATCACTCCCGATCGCTGGTACTGTGTGTTGTTTGCCCGATACTCGGAATGGGATTTCGGTACGATTAAATTCGACGTCATCGTCGACCGCAATGATCATGGTATCGGAGAAATTGGTTAAGTCACATAAGTTCGGTGAGCAACTGTTTTGGAAGGTTGGTAGATGTAATAAACGATTCAATTATCTTTTTGTAAGAGGTTCGTTTAGACTTAATACAGAGAAGAAAGGAAAACTAGACTTGGGTGGGTTCTTAAAATATTGAAATTTGAATATTTCACTTAATAAACAAAGACTTTAGGCATGATGGCGACTCTACGCATTTCTTATTTATTGGGACAATTGGAAATGTTGCGTGTGTGGGTGCTTGCAGAGACGAGCCCGCGCGGGAGCCGATCGCGTGCAGAGAGCCGTGCAAAAATATGTATTGCAAACAACCACCGGTGCAAATGAACCGCCAACCCCCCTTCGCGGCTCAGCAAAAAGACGAGAGAGGGGTGCGTCGCTGTTTCGACGGGGTTCAACTTACGATGGACGTCAGCGGTGGAGCAGTCGATAGGTGTATGCGGGCCCCCTCGTCTGTCATGTATCACGTATCCAGTTTTGAAATTCGAACAAACTTCTATCGGGATATCATCTAAGGCTGATGTAAATGCCTAGGAAATGTAGTGGTTTGCACAAGCGTTATTTTTCGAGAGCTCGGAAATTCCTTGTGGCGGTTAATGAATTTTTTATATGCCTATGATTGAATTAATTCTTGATATAGTCAAATTTACGCACTATTTTTGTGCTATTAAAGGTGCTATGACACTTTATAATCGGAAAGGAACTTTAATAGGTATGTTTATTTAAAATTACCTCTACCAGAAGATACAAGTAATTTTGAACTCGTAGAATAAAATAGTGATTTAATAATGATAACAGTCAACTATTTATAAAAAGAATAAAGGAACAGCCTGTATATGTCCCACTAAGAAAGACCTTGTCTGGACGGAGAATGTTAGGGCATAGTCTATCACGGGTATAGGCGGATTTCACATATCTTCGGAAATATTTTTCAATTACCATTAGTTCAAATTCCAATTTACAAGTCCATTGGTACCGGCAGAAAAATTTTTACCAGATAAATCGTAAGGAACTTAATGATTAGTGTAACAGAAATACATCATCAGTGAAAATTTCAAATTCACTTCAACTATCACGGTTCATGAGATACAGAAGGTTCCGTTTTACTCATTGGTAGGTACGGAACCCTAAAAGAATAGTTTGTAAGGTTATATCTTCCATAATGTCGATCCATTATGCTTGTAGCAATATCATCATGCTTTCATTAAACAATGAGTTCAAAATGTACAGAATTTAGTATTTATTTAGGCGTAGCGTTAACGGCGTGGAAAAATGAAAAAGTCGTTTTCTCTAACTGCTTCCAGGGTAGCGTGTCTGTATGGTAATACGAAAAATTTCGAAATACTATTCAGTGCCACTCCGCATCTTGTTTTTATTAATATTGCGATTTTATTTCGTTGGATTCTAAGTTCAAATGCGAATGTTTTAAAGTCTAAAACGTTTACCGAAAAATATTGCGAGTTAATGACTGAAAATTATGAAAGTATTACTAAAACGCCTCTTCGAGGACCCCGTGGCGTTTTCAAAGTCAATTAAGAAACGTATTTTTAACCATCCGTTTACATTTTTTTTTGATGGAAAAAAGTCTCCTTTCAGTACTGCTCTTTACTTTACTCGGCAAAGTATAGAGTTTAACGAAGCCATAATTATTATGCTCAAAAGAATTTCTCCTTTTTTCTTCGCTAAGGGAATTTAATGAAATGCCCGGGTTTGCTCCGTTTCAAATGGTTACGTGCGGGGGTTTTTAACGTCATTTTGTTTACATCAAGTGTTCAATGTTTAAATATCTTGCCGATTTAAATGAATGGCCCCTTTGCATGTTCTCGAAATTAATTTGAAAAGCATTTCGGGCGTGCATTTCTGTTAATTACGCTACATAAGTATCTTTTTAGCTTGTAACAAGTGTGCTGTTCGGCTAATTGGTAGGGCTCTTCGCGAGTATTTTTTGAAACTTGATTGCGTCTATTTTTATGGTTAGACTCATTGAGGGCCTCATAATTCAACGTCTTTTTGGCAAAAACAAACGCTCCATTACTAAGTGGCGCCGCAAAACATGGTATTAGATTTTCGCAATTAAATGAAGTACGAAAACGTTATATTTTTCGGCAATTTTTGCACTACCAAAGTCGGAAGGGAATTAGCTACCGACAACCCGATTGCTGTGTAATGGATTTGTCTATAGCGCCGGTGTGGGTTCGATCCCCACTACTGGAAAAATATTGTGTGATGAACGTAGTGTTTTTACAGTGTCTGGGTATTTATATGTGTATAATATGTATGTATACAAAAGAAAAGTGTCTATCAGTTATACAGTACCCATAGTACAAGCGTTCCTTAGTTTGGGACTAGAGAATGTTGTGCAAAAATATTACACTAGAATTTGATCTAGCGGCAACATTTACGCCCGATGTCTGAAACACTGATCACCGTAGAAGTCATTCTGATCGATTCAGAGTGTTTAACAATCCTTTTGGCAACTTAAACAACATTTGAAAAGCCATTTGACAGCTGATTAGGTGACTTCCACGATGATCGGTGTTTCAGAAACCGGGTGTTAGTCCGAGTGCGCCTCACGTGGGCTCAGAAAAGTTTCCGTGCACACGCGCGCAGACCGAGAAAAGCGAAGAAAAAGGGCGACGCGCTCGCAGAAACTGTGTTATGAGGTAAGAAGCAGGGGCCACGGCGATCCCAATAAAACGATACGGCGTAAGGTCGCCGGGATGCGGCGGAACTTTTCATGGGAACTTTTCTACCTATTTTAGAGACGGCGAGGTGAAAGGAGATTTTCTTTTGCTGCTTACACTTTATCGTACTTTCGAACCGTAACTATTGAACACAATGAGTTCTTTCCATCGTAGAAATAGTGTACATAGATAAACTAACAAGCTTCACCGAGGGTTGAGTTAGAGCCGTTTACCGGTTGTTATAGTCGCTGACATGTCAAATTCAATGGCTAATTTTATGAAGATATACTTTATAGTCTGTTTCGAACTATACCAATTAACTACAATGAGTTCTTTGAGGTATTTGATAACCAAACAAGATGTACCAACAGTTGAGTTAGAGCTGTTATGGATCTTAGCTGTTGTTTAAATGTCCAATTTAATGACTTTGTACGGCAATAGTTAAATAATGGTGGTCGTATGCGAGTACATTGAAAATAACAAAACAAAAGTTAACAATATTAAAATGCGAGTTCGTAAATTGAAAACATACATTGGAACATTACATACAAGTGGTGTGAACGGTTGTCGGCTTATTACAGCGGTAATTTTAACGCTTTAATTACGTCCGTTAGCAACTTTGCAACGTTTACTTCGCAGACTCGTTCTAGTGACGACCTATCACAATATGGCCTCGGATCTTGCGTACGTCTCGTTCTTATTCGAATATACGTGTGCGGGTTGTGGCAAGTTTATCTGCTCGTTACGCTTGAAGAAATGGGACTATCGACAGAGATATAACAGCACCTATTGTACCATTATATGGTTTCAGAGCGTGTTAAAGTCTATCGTCTCCTTTTCGCATATCATGTCAAAGTTAGTGAGCGATTGTCATAATCAGAATAAGTATGAAAATTATGTTACACATTTAACAATAAAAGGTTTTACCTTTAATTGCTAATGAAAGTTTTTTAATACATTCTATGCTATACTCTGATCAATTTCCCTGCTTGTTAATTTATTCTGACCGAAATCGTTTGACGTGCCATTCTTTTTTACGTTTTTAAAAACAAAAGCTTCGTTTTAAAATTATTTATTTGAAATAAAACTTTATATGTGATGTTACTGAGCATATTGATGCATCACCATAGCAAGGTTCTGAACTTCACCACGACACAATTATTTTGTGACAATGGACTTACTCGTGTAATGTATTATTGTTTACAATGTAGTGAGTATTCGAGTAAATCTTCGCTTGTTATCTTCAACTGATGATTTGCATGTCGCTGTAAACATCACATGTAGATTAATTGAGTTATCCAGATCATTTCGGCGCCAAAACTAGTCGCTTATTACCTCATGATTAACAGAGCGATAATTGTAGACGGGTGAAAGGTGCAGAGAAAGGCGTGCAGTTTTTTTTTCATCATCCTCTATGCACGGAAACGTATTAGCGTTATTTTCGGCCGGTGTCATTCCGGCCGGTGCACTTTCTACACGTCGGACGGAATTATACGTCAAAAGTAATATGTGCGGTTGGCCGTGATTAATTACCCCCACCGTTTGATTTATACCATTACGGAGCGCCGTTTATGTTTCTAAATTACTCTATGCCCATTATGGCAGCGGCCGACTGTACAATCGTAATTGGCGTCTGTGTTATTTGGTAAATGCTCGCCGAGTATTGACTTGTGATCGGACAAAGCCCTAAACAAGCATTAGCGACCCACACTAGTGCAGCCGTAAACACCCGGGGGGTGGGCGCCTCCCCGATTCGGCGTTTTTATATTTTTGCACATTAAAAAAAAAGCGGCAAGAAGAGCGCGCGGCAGACAAAGATGGACTGATGACGGGCCCGCGCCGGTGTACACGCGAACAATGCCGCGCAAGCGGGACGGATGCACCGCTGTCACTCGCGTCGCGAAATAAAAATGTGCAAAGGGTTTTCCTTTCTCGTCGCTTTTTTTCACCCCCCCCCCCCCCCCCCCCCCCAAACCACCTCTGCAACTCAGATGTGATGCTTTTTTACGTTAGTCTGCGTTCGCAATTAGTGATGCGCGGTCGTCGGGGCGGGCGTCGCGATCTATGCAAATGCGCGGGCCTTTGGGGCCTGGTCCTTTGTCCCTTAGGCAGGTAGGATCGCGGAAGCCGCTCCCTTCGGCCAAGGTCGCTCTGCCACCGCGGCCCGAGAGACTAGACCGGTCGCTTTTTAATGCGCCGTTCCCTTGGAGGGTCTATAGGTATTGTTGCCGGGCGGCTTTTAAGGGCGAGCGGCCGCGCCGAACTTGAGACACTTCCGAGCCGTGATATTACGAAATTTTTACGATTATTTATTGAAATTAGTACGGTCATAGCCTGGCCGAGGAAATAGTCTACTGACCGATCAGGTACGATCGTGTTCAGAGTTCAAATGAAAGCTCGTCGACTTGAAGTGTAGATAGCATAATTATGAATTGATAACGAATGTCTCTATTAAAGCGCTTAGCGTCTACGGCAATTTCTACGTGCAATTTTTTACTATTCGTCGGCGTTTGTTGGTATACTTTTCAGTGGTTACTACAAGCATGCAAGCTCCGAAATGATATCGCCGCGCGCAAATTCCGCCGCCCGAGGGAAAAAACACTGACGGCCCAATGCAGGGCGCGCGTGTGTGCGCGGCCCCACACACACACGCGCGGCCGCCGTGTCGGTGCATGCTTTACGCGCGGAAAAAAGTGCTGCGTTATTGATTTTTCTACAGTACAGCCACCGGGGGGGGGGGGGGGGGGGGGGCGGGGGGGAGCGCCCGCGGCCTGAAAAAGCGTCTGCTGAAAAAACCCGAGACGAAAAAGCACCCCACCCTTTTTAATTGGTAACGTAGTGTCAATAGGGCTAATCCCGGCACCGTAATAGCCCGCTTTTGTCTTTCGAATGCATTTTTCAGTGTTGCCAGGCGACGACTTTGAATGCTAGGCGAATTTTTCTTTTTTTTTTTTTCACTTCGGCACAAGCCCCGGCGTTGCGTCGAGCTGGCCTCTTACAACAATGCCGTTCGCAGCTAAACCCCGCTCGCTTTGTTAGTTTTAATTTCGTTAATAAGTGGTATTAAGGATTTATGAACGCTGGAATGTCACTTGAGGAGGTGCGCATTCAAGTTTTTCAATGGACATAGCGATAATAAGGTCTAAGCGTTCGTTAATTTTGACGCCGTTGTTTATTGAAATTTGTAAAGAACAAATAGCACCATTGTCCACGGTACGGGATTTGTTCCAGCCAAATGAACTTCTTCGACATTTATATAGACGTATATACATACGCACATATATTTATACAGTATAAATAGATATAATCAAATCGTTATTTTGCAAACTTCACCCCGCTCATCCTAATTGATGAGGGCGTTCTATTGAGGCGCAGACGAGCGCAATTATAAACGGAAGTGCGTGCGTGACGTCACATCCGCACCGCCAATTGAGCCACTTACGACCCGCCGAGGTCAGGGTTTTGAACGTCACAGATAAATCGTCCGTAAAAATAATTGTTCGCCCGAAACTGTTTTGTTTCCTTAAAAATTGCCTATTTCATCCATCCACATATAAGTAAATATTTCCGGACATGATTGTACTCAAAGTTATAGAGTCCCAAACTAGTGTCCTATACTAGCGAGCTCTAGCTTATACTATGGGTAACTAACAGATAACTAAAACTTACTTTTCTTTTGTAAATAAATATATTGACCTTATGATTTTACGTGAATATTATACATATTAAATGAAATTAATTTACGGATTTTATCGCGTTTATATTCTGTTTTTGAAATTCCCGACTTTTCGAACCCTTTCCAGCGTTCATGGTCCCGTAATCCGTAAACTAGTTTCATTTAATAAATAAATATATGTCAGGTATAGGCATGAAAATATGTTATTGTTATATAAAAATATGTTATGACTATGTTCTTGATATAATATAATTCAGTGGCGGTTGATCTCGCCACTGAATAATATTATATCCTGATATATAGCCCACAACCTCTGGCGCAGAAAACAGGTTCACTGTTTGCTTTTATATTTTGTTTAAATTAAAAAAAAATAGCTAAACATATTTCAGCGTATTAACAGTGGTAGACGCGCAATAGCCTCTGTTGTTGCAAGAATGGGCAGGCGCGGTCTGAAGTATAAGTGATAAACTTTCGCGTTTCCTCTGGTGAGAGGGGTAACCGGAGATTTAAAGATGAACTGTACTTGATACTTGTCTATCACGCAGATATCTTGAGTCCGTGATACTTCTCCGTTAGAACTGAAGTTTTCGCGCCTTATATCTCAGCTCTACTGCAGGCGAAAATCAAGTTATCGTCTTCATTGTCCTTGTTAGAAAAGGCAGTAACTATAGTGAACTTGTGTTTATTATTTTTATCATTATCCCTTAGTAAAAATTTGTGATCATCTTCTATAAGTACCTATAACATCTTTTATGAGTTCAACATTCCAGACGATTATTTGTTTTATATCAAATTTGTTATTGATAAATTGTACTTGATCGTTTCGAATGCATTCCAGCATCCATGGCCACGGGCTGGTCTGAGGTGTTTGACGTCACAACGCCTGACGATATTCGCTACCGTGACGGTACGACGTAATTAAAAGCGATAATATCAGTAAAACATAGTCCCACAAATGGCTTTGTTTATACAAATAAATGAAGGCATAAATTAATTCACGAAGAATGAACATCTCAGACATAAACTGCAGTCTTCCTCAAACGTTGGGGCTTCGCGAGTAGAGTTAAAGATGCATTTTCCATAGATAAGACCAAAGTCTGCGTTCAAGAAATGTACAAGCCCGGTTCAACTAGGATATCAGTTCACACTTCAGACTGCCCACGATCTAGGGCGCTGTTTGCGAGGCTGAGTCGACACCTTGTGATTTTAAAACGAAAAAGGTTATTTAAATGAAGTTAAACGCGATATATTTATTTATCGTTTTATTCAGCAAAGCGTAACATTCCTTTGAATACAGGATGTCAATATTATTTTAAATTATGAAGGGAATATTTGTTAAGTATCTGATCTCCGGTGAACGTCAATTATTTCTTATCCGGAGCTACATCGTTATGGACCGATGATTGCAAAATATTAGCCTTTCAATTGATACCTCGACGATGAAAGGGATGATTAGGAGAATTAACTTCGTAATCGAAGTTTCAATAAGAGTTGACGTGTTTTGCGACCGAGGATATTAAAAACAGTGTTTATAATGAAACGACTGTTTCCTCGCGTGTAATTATATGTGCATAACGATAAAGGTATAGAGAAGTAAAAGCGCCGCAGCGTTATGTAATGAAGACTTAAACAAAAGTGGGAGATTAATTTCATTTAATTAGTGAGTAAGACTTATGAATACTTAGAGCTAAGCTTCCAACAGTAAAATTTCAAGTTTATATATAACTCCAGAAGTTTTTGCACAAGTTTGAGACTGATGAATCAATTCTAACAACACGTGAACGTTTTATTTTATGGTTATAGACATACCAACAGTATACAATTTACATATTTACACAATTTACAAAAAAAAAGGAAAAAATAAAAAAAACATTGGACCTAATATGTACCTATAACAGGTGTGTACAACATTTATAATAATGTGCCAAAGTTTAATAAATTGAAAAGTAAACTAAATAATTCATAAAAAAATAAATACAAACAATACACTAACAATAAAAATGAAAGAATCAAAAATACTATATAGGTGTGCTTGGAATAAAACTTAATAGGTATATCACCACTGAAACTAGTCCACACGTCACATGGTTAACAGTGCAAACTTTGACCCAATTGGACCAAACTAATACCTTCAAATATAACGTTTATTTTAACTTTAGATAACGAACATCGGACTTGGAACTAATCTCAGTATCGCGAGGTTTAACGAACACGAAACTACTATCAAAGCACGGTGGTGCCAACTGTTATAAGTTCACAGAAGCTTTTCGCTTGGCGAATGGAACTGGCAGAGCGCAATAGCTGGTGGTCAAGTGGTTTTTTCTGGCCAGCGCTTGACGGCCATCGCACCAGATGGTAAGTGGCGACGCAGCCGTAAAAATCTGTACACCATTGCCTTGGTTACGTCGACTCTAACCTCTGCGTACAAACACGGGAGCACTAAAAAGCACAATGGTACCAACTCTTACTGGGTCACAGAATCTTGTCGCCAAACCCATGCGTTCAAACACGGGAGCACTAACAAACCAACACGGGAGCTCCAACAAAGCACAATGGTACCAACTGTTAGTGGGTCACAGAATCTTGCGAATAGCTGTTGGCAGGGCTAGCGCGTCAATTCGTTACGGCTAGCCCCCGCGTAGCCGCGTAACCGCACACGGTCGCTTGCGATTCATTGAACTTGTCCCCGTCCACTTGTCTGTCCGTCTGTCTGCCTCGCTTATTGATGTCAAGTAGCAATTGCGTAACGCTCGGTCAATGCCGAGCGCCCGCCTCGGCGCGTTCACTGCACCCGATGCGTTCAATTCGCGATCACTGACTCCTGCGCTCGATCACCCCACGCTGTACTGTTGTATCCGTAACTTAAAAATGCATTTTCTTATGTGAGATGGTGGCAAGCGAGCTGGTGGTTCCACTGAAGGAAGTGATAATCGCCGCCCATGTACATTTTCAACAACCATTTGCAGATGCAGACCTTTTGATAAAGTGGGCTACGGCTACCTCACTCACCAGACGAAACTCAGAAGTATAATACTTCTAATTCACGCTGGTCATGTGAGAGGTCGTGGTATTTCTCCAACCTATCCATTATTTCTACAGCGTAATCTGTTACGTGGCCCTACCTCAGGTAAAAATGTAGATGGATTGTCGAAAAATGTTTCAACACCGCCAGGATTCGAACCTGCGTCTTCGGATTACGTACTCCCCGCTAAGCTAAGGAGTATAAATCAAAGATGTAGCCATATTTTCCCCCGCTGTTGGGAACCCTCTGTACAGAAGTGAAGTATTAGAGCGTATTCAACGCGATCCCAAATACCAGATATTATGTTCAGGCGTAACTATAATGTGTTGTATATAATAATATAATAAATAAATATATAATGCGTAACTATAATGTAATTGAACGGTTTTAGGAGTTCTCAGACATGCAGGTCCATCCTCTCGGGACTTTAACTACCTATTTTGGTAACTCAACTCTGAATAGTTCACACCCTCAGAGGATTTGTCTTTATCTAATTAACACGTGTGTGTGACCAATGTCTTATTTAACGATAATTTAATTTAATTCAAGTATACAAACTAAACAGGAATGAGAGGATCTCTGGTATAAGAACTGATATTTTTAGAAAATCGGATGTCTTTAATGTAAACACTTTATGCGGTTATTTATTTGCAGTTCAAAATAAATTCAAATCAACGCGAACTTATTTCTAACAAATTTTTAATGAATTATTTAAAAAAAAATCAAAGGGTAGGTGAACCTTTCTACCCTTTGCACTTACGTAAATATCATCTCGAATAAAGAGAAAGCTGCCATTCATTATAATCATCGGAGATGCATCGCTCTTTAAAAATTGAATTTTTGAAGTAATATTCTTCTATCCCCAATTTGAGTGCTTTTTTCCATGCCGCGGGAGCGAAGAAAAGCGGTTCCAAGACAGAAAAGGTCAGCAAAGACGGTTGTCTGGAAGCTTCTTTGTTTGCGAGTAGAGTGTAAC